ATGTACAGTCCAGTCAAATCGTTGTATTTACAATCTTTAAGGATACAAAAAAGATGACTATTGCAGTCAAAGTATAAAATGAAGTTCCTAAGTAGTTATTTTTACCAATACATGGGAGATAACTATACAAGTAGAAACCTTTTAAATTTCTGTTTCTGCTATAGGTTTTGAGCAAAGTCCACAAATTTTGTCATATTCTAATTTTACTAATTTGCAAACAGCTTTACTTTGCTCAAAGGCTAATTCCTAATCACTTCAGCAGTGCTAACAGAAAATTCTGCATCAAAAAGGGAATCAGCTTGAAAGGCCGAACTCTATAAATAATACGAACCTTGGCCATTATTGCGAACACAAGAACGTTTTAATGCTGTGGTATCTGTACAAACTTTAGGATCTCCTTTGACTAAAAGTTTACTTCTAGTTCGGTAATTTTCAACACACTCACTCCATTCTCCTAACTGATATTTACATTCTGAAATAAAATTAAATAACTTTATTGAATGGAAATGGTGCAGTTTGCAATGAGGTAAATTTTGCTAGAACTGTTGCATTGAAAATTATTTCAATTTCAAACTGTTAAGGGCTCTTTAAGAGCCATGGTTTCAATGTAATGTTCTATCTGAAAAACTAATCTGGGTTTTTTAAGTCAACCATCAAAGTCAGTGACAAGTAAAACTAGGATCTCTATACCAGGAGCAAATCCAGGAGCAAATCCAGGATTTGTAGGTATTGAACAAATAACTAATTGCTGAGATTTCCTGGCTTCCATGACCAACTTCATGATAATTTTGACAATGTTAGTTTGTTAAAGGGGCAAGCTTGCCATCCATTTAACTAATCCTACCTTAGTCTCAGAAACAGGAATTTTTTAGTTTACATAGCTAATCAGTAAGTGTTCACAGCTCGCAGTCTTAAATCCATGTGTGTCTAGAATTATTCACGTGAGACTCAGCCATATATAGAAATATTACGTGAAATGTCTAGTTTGAGGTATTCTTGAATGAATATGGTGGATGAAAAAGTAAGACACACTAACATTGAGGTCTTGGTTTGTTAAGCAGCCCCTGTTTCCCCTTTGATGGAGCAGGTTTGAGAGGCTGTCACGGAACAAATCAGATGTCATATGTAACTGAGTCTGTGCATGTAAAAGGGACTTCCATTTGACCAATTGTACCTAAGTCTCAATAGCTTTTGCTATGGTAATCATGTTCATTTTGTGCAGTTCTAGTGCTTTTGAAGACTATTTACATAATATATTCAAGGCACAAATCAACCCTGAAAATGGCAAACCTAACCCTTTAAAACATAATACAAAATGCAGTTTCTGTTTAAAGCCTCATCAATAATCAGACTATTTTAATAATGTTCATAATATCACACCATTACTTTCAGAAATTTTGCAATATATAATTTACAACCAAAATTCAAGTTAAAAAAAAACACTTACTTTTCTTATTCTTCACACATTTCTTGGTAATTGTTCTAGATTTTTCACAGAAAGCATTGTTACCATTAGCTAGTGTATCAACTCTTGTCATTAGTTTAGTAGATTTATCACAGGCTGACCATTCTCCTTTCATAAACTTACATCCTACAAAATAAAACTTGGTTTACCTTCATTGCACATGTTTTGTATATGATCAATACTGTGACCGATGTTGCTTGTCAAACAAGAAATTCTCCATTTCCTTGAACCTTTCGGAATCAGAATAAGAAAAGTAGCTGTCATAATTTCAAACGCAACTGTCATGCAACTGAGTTGTGAGTTGTGTTGGAACTTATGACCACGTTTATTATTTGCAACCATTCACAACTGGTATGAGAGCACATCTAGGAGCATAATGTTGCTTATACAAAACTAAAATTGACCATGTGGGTAACTTTCAAAATAAGCTTAGATGCTTTCTTTCTTCTATTGATTGTAAATTTATGGGTTTTCATTGGCACTGAGAAGTTGTCTAAAATTTTCTTAGTCAAAATGTTTAGATGTTTAGATGTTTTTATCTTTCAGACTATGATGTACACATTTCTTAAATATTTTAAAAAATCTGACACTGTTCAGCCGATTACCAATTTCTAAACTTGTTTGAGATCTCATCGAGATATACATTTGTATACCAAGTTCCATCAAATTCAGATAAAAACGGTAGCCTTTATCGAAATGTGAACAGACGGTTGGATGGACAGGGGCGACGGCAATATACGTCCATATTTCAATGTGGGTGTATAAAAAGGAAGATCACAGTGCAGGGATGTTGTTTTATCCTTTTTTTGCCAATCAGACATTTTCTACTGTCTTTGAATTCAGACCAGATTTTATTACTATTTCGTTAAATTGTAAAAGATGACATTTACTTACTGCTTTTGCATTTTCTGCTAAAAGTCTTAGATTTGGGACAAATATTAACATTTCCAGCCTTTAGAGTCAGTGTTCTAGTCATGGTATTGGTTCTAGGATTACAGTTTCCCCAATCACCAAATGAATACTTGCAAGCTACAAAATACATCAATCCTTTATATGTAATAAAAAAACTTTTTATGGATCTGGCTAAGACAACTGGGCAACACTATGTAGTGTGCAACAAGGGAAATTTTATCCATCAAATCATCATGGTAACAACTACATTACTATTGTTTGATTACCACTTAACCTTTAAAGGTCATGGTTTGCCAATTTTGGGGGTTGATTTGGGCATGGAATATAATATGTAAATAGTTTTCAAAAGTACTAGAGCTGCACAAAAATCTCAAGGCTTAAAATGAACATGATTAGCATAGCAAAAGCTATTGAGACTTAGGTACAATTAGTCAAATAGATGTCCCTTTTACTTGCACAGACTCAATTACATATGACATCTGATTTGTTCCGTGACAGCCTCTCAAACCTTCACCATCAAAAGAGGAAACAGGGGCTGCTTAACCAATGAAAACCAAGACCTCAATGTTAGTGTGTCTTACTTTTTCATCCACCATATTACCCTTTGGTGTCTTAAGGTGGGCAAAAAAAAGGAAGTGAATATAACTTACATAAGCCTCTTAATGCAGCTCTTCTGCAAGGTTTGCTAATTGTCTTGGTAGCCTTACAGTTAGCAGGATCTCCTTTCTTCAATGTCAATGTTCGGGACATTTGATTAGTAGTTGAATCACAGGCTCCCCAATTACCTTTCTCATATTTACATTCTATCAACAAAAACAAAGTTTTGACAACTCAAGGACAAATAAAATGTCAAGATTCTGACTGGTTATGTCAAATTTTATGATGCAAAAGGGCAATGCCATTTGTTTTTAAAATTTTGGAAATGCGAGCACTGGAATTTTTCAGCACAGTTTTGTTCAACTTGACAATTCAAAATAGTTCATTAAAGTTCATTTAATTTCATTTCCAAGTTTTACAGTTCAAATTGTCAATGTCAATTTTCTAGATGCACTGTCAAAATATATATAGTTTCATAAAGCAATGTCAAAGTTGTGAACTGCATCTTCAATTTTTTTTATTTCTCCTTAAAGAATTAATAAGATATTTTGAATAAAGGATCAGATTGGTTATTTGTTCAGAGTGAACTGATGATATACAGAATGCAGTATAAAAGTTAGTTGTGTTAGTATTAATTTGAAGATTAGTGCAACAATCATATGAATTTTGGTATGCAAAGTTTTTTCAACCAAATGAAACTCACACCAAAAATACAAAAAATAATAACATTTGCTTGTTTAATTATTCAAATAATTTTTCATACCCAAAAGCAAACTTAAATTCCATCGCAATTTTTTTTTCTCAAAAATCTCCATTTGGCTAGAGGTTTATTCGGTAGTATGGCAATTTTAGGGATATAGTTCTCTAAATAATTGAATTCCTGCAACATAATTTCAGACTAAGCATCTACTTTCGTCCACAATAGTTTGAAAAGTGCCAACAATAGTGACTATAGTCCTAAGTTTCCAGGGCGTTCATATAGGGTGTTCATATTTACCTTAACAGATATTACTAAGAGTCATAACTCATTGCTAGTATCTACTAGGGTGAATGTTGATACTAATAGCAACAAGGCGATTTTGGCTTTTGTCATTTCCTTCTTTCTCCAATTGTAGATACACCATGCTTTAGATTTTATTACAAAAAGTGCTATGGATAACTAAAATTGAGCTTTAGCTGCTGAACCTAGTATTTAGGCAACTATCATAAAGATGGAATTAGACGAGACAAGGTATGGTGTTGGATTATCGATACATTAGGAAGTAGTAGTAGCAAATTGTGTCTGCACTGTGTCCAGACCTTGTGTTTTCACTTTTATTTTCTATTGTTGATAATAATACACCAGATACCAAACTTTGTCTATTTGTGGTACTGTTTTAGCCTTCAAAACTAGACTACTAAAGGCATGAGGACAATTAATGAAAAGCAAGGAAGAGTCACAAACCTGCTGTTAGTAAACCAACCAGAAATGTTTCCAAATCAATAATCTACATAAATAGTGGCCAGATAATTGAATGTGTTACTCTACCATATCAAATGCCCATAACATCGGTAACTAGCTAGATTCCATGACGCCAAGAGACTTAATAACCTATTTCTCTTCCTTCGTAGACAAAGGTCAACGTTTATAAGTATAAGATCAGAAATTAATTTCTCTTAATGACTTATTTTATTTCCATACTTCATGTTGAAATAAGAATAAAATGTTACACAATAAAAATATACAATTTGAAGATTTATTGAAGGCCACTTAAATCAATGTTATTTTATATCATATGGCTATACTTTGACTGCAGAATGTCTATACTATACTATATTATTCTGCATTTAAATCCATTTCTCAATGATTACTGCAGTTCATTTCTCAATGATTACTGCAGTTCATTTCTCAATGATTACTGCAGTTCATTTCTCAATGATTCATTTCACTATGATTACCGAAGTTCATTTTACAATGACTACTGCAGTTCATTTCTCAATAATTACTGCAGTTCATTTCTCAATGATTACTGCAGTTCATTTCTCAATGATTACTGCAGTTCATTTCACTATGATTACTGCAGTTCATTTCTCAATGATTACTTCAGTTTATTTCTCAATAATTACTGCGGTTCATTTCTCAATAATTAGTGCGGTTCATTTCTCAATGATTACTTCAGTTCATTTCTCAATGATTACTGCAGTTCATTTCTCAATGATTACTGCAGTTCATTTCACTATGATTACTAGAGTTCATTTCACTATGATTACTACAGTTCTTTTATTAATGATTACTACAGTTCATTTATCAATGATTACTACAACACTATGATTACTGCAGTTCATTTCTCAGTGATTACTTCAGTTCATTTCACTATGATTACTGCAGTTCATTTCACTATGATTACTGCAGTTTATTTTTCAATAATTACTGCAGTTCCTTTCTCAATGATTACTTCAGTTCATTTCACTATGATTACTTCAGTTCATTTCACTATGATTACTACAGTTCTTTTATTAATGATTACTACAGTTCATTTTCTCAATGATTACTGCAGTTCATTTCACTATGATTACTACAGTTCATTTATCAATGATTATTACAGTTCATTTCTTAATGATTACTAAAGTTCATTTCACAATGATTACTACAGTTCATTACAGTTCATTTCAAAATGATTACTACAGTTCATTTCTCAATGATTACTACAGTTCATTTCACTATGATTACTACAGTTCATTTCACTATGATTACTGCAGTTCATTTCACTATGATTACTGCAGTTCATTTCATTATGATTACTGCAGTTCATTTCTGCATTGTTGTGAAACCATTACAGACCTTCATGAGGTTCAAGTCTAAGTCTCTGTATTTAAAGTCTTTTCATATTCCATACTTTGAACCATATATTGTCTTTTACTGGATTTTAGAAATTCCTTTACTTTAGTTTTTACTTGCTGAACTCAAAATTACACCATTCATTTATCCGAAGAAATCACCATTGACTTAAAATTATTGTAATTGCAAAGTATAATTTGAAAACACTTTTGACCAAAAGTAAATACATTGATAGTCTGTATAAATTAAAAAAGAGCCTTAAGCTTTCAGTTTTCAAAAGTTAAAAATTTGTTCTCTTCTTTCTCAATTCTTCTCAAATAGCTTCTTACAAGTATAGAGGAAATCTTTACAGAATTCAATTTCATAGAAAAGTAAATTACAAGAAATATGAAACAAGATAACCCAAGGCATTTAATTTCCCATAAAACTATTTTGTAGATCATTTGATGCGGTTAAAAAGACAAATTCACCTTTTTTACATGGAACATAGAAAAGCCATTAATTTTCTACTCCAATTGCCTTAATTTACTTTGCTTTTCTAGTTTGTTGTTCAACAAAGTAACTTAGTTAAAGGAAACACACTTAAAAGAATTATTCTCATGTTTTTCCAGAATATCAAATACAGAACCAATGTCATTCAAAGTGCACACAGAAGAAAAATATTGTGTTTCGTGTTTTTTATTGAGTTAATTCCCATTCCAATCTAAACAATTGTGCTATGATCCCTGAAATTCCAGAGCAAGATGACTGAATCATGACATACTGTTGCAAAAACAGTTATAGCCAAAACTGTTTGACACTTGACACCTATCAAAGTGAAATTTGGGTAATGAATTCATAGTGTGATAGATAATTTTTTTCTGAAATTGCAGGAACCACAGACATCTGAGATCCTGATACACAAAGGACAAGGACCATTTAACAATACAATTAGACAATTATCTCTTCTTAGAGCAAAAAGGAGGAATTTTATGTAATGTAAACAGGCAATCATTCTTAGAATGGTTCCAATTCTGGCCAAAATCGAGGAGATATTTTTTACAGTTATTGTTCTTTTTTTTTCATATTCATAGTCATGGCAAGTGTGCCTGTGCCAGTCGTTGAAACACAAGACAAGACTCTAATCGGCGACAATAGTCTCCAACTAAGACTGCTCATATGCCCGCACCTTAAACCAGAAAAGTAAGACAAATCTCATATTGCACTTTTTTTCTTCTACTGGATACAATTCAATTATTGGAATATTTTCTCATTTGTTACACTTCATTATTTTTTATGTATCACAAGTTAAAATAACAAGTTAAGTTATAATTGATGTATCATTATTCAGCTGTTATTTTATATTTATTTAAAGAGTTATTAGAATTGAAACATGATTATTAACTAATTATTGCAGCTGTTTATATCAATAAGTAAAAGGGATTGTAAAGAGGTTTTCTAAAATTTTTATGTATGCTGGGAACCCTGATAAAATCAATTTGCACCATTCTAATTTTCCATCAAACGTCTGTGGTTCCTGCAATTCCACTAAAATTAAGTGTTCGATAACATTACTAATAGGAAAAGTCCTATAAATTTGATTTTCATGGAAATTGATGCTATCAGTGTTCCCGATACAAATAAAAAAATTAGAAGATCCCTTAAAATTTTTTTTAGAATCATTGTATTGAAGTGTAGGGCCCAGCATCAATTTTCGTTCATTAACACTCGTATGCAGCTTCCTGGGGACATTAAGAAGTGAAAAATTTTTTGTATTGTCTTGTCAATCTTCTTGGGTTTAACAACTAATAATTTAAAGCTTATAGTGTGTTTCGTGTTTTTAAACCTTTTATAAGCTTAATTCCCATTGCAATCTAAACAACTGTGCTATGATCCCTGAAATTCCACAGCAAGATGACTGAACCACTAAAACTTGTCTTTCATTATGGTAAAAATGTGATTAAAATAGTTTTAAAGCTAATTTGCAATCTAAATAAGATTAGGCCTTCTCGTTCAAAAGATTCTGAGTAACAATGTGGGTAATTTTTCACCAACTGACAAAATGCTTTTAGTGGATGTCGCACCTTCATCAACCCCTCAGTGGAAAGTACTATTCAATAGTATGATCTATGGATTTACTAACACTTTGTATTAGTTGATGAATGACCACAAATTATTGGTAAGACCACATTTCATTAGACGGTACTATCGAACATGAAGTTCATAGTACAATATACCAATGTAAATCAACAAGTACCAAAGAATCATCGGTAATCTAATAGTCCTACCAATTTCTATCAACGTGTGGAATAGCTCAAAGTTTTTCTCATATTGGAAATGTTCTACTCCAGCCAATAAATTCGATCTCACACATCAGAACCCATCAATAATAGCAAACAGAAGAATACTGCCTCTAATTTTATTCATTTCATCCAAATTCCATTTCCTACAGTCATGTCTCGAGCTAAGTGTTTCCGTAAAATTTTATAAAAAACTTTCATAAATAGATTGAAAAAAGTATTGGCTTGCTGGTTAAAATTTCTCGGTAATCAATAAATTTGATAAGCGGAAGCTAAATTTGGTGTATCAAGGGATTAATCTAATTTCATTTTAGACTGGAATGTCTGAAAAATAAAATCTAAGTGAAGCAGACGTAACCAATGAAAAGTCAAGGTGTAATCATCTTGATTAACCAGTCTGTTACATAATTTCAGATAATGGTATGTGATGGATATCTGGCGTAAATAATATGAAATAATTTTCAAAAGAAAGACCAAATTTGATAAAGGCAAGTAATACTCATCTGATCTGGCACCTAGCATACGCGATTATAAGATCTGGTCAAAACTGGCAACAAGATCTGAACCAGAACCAGATCTGGCTCTAAACCAACAAACAGATCTTTGGCAAGCCTGGGTCAGCTAGCTGGGATGTGTATTGGGACACTTAACTGAAAAGCCAAATTGCACAATGGACACTGTCAGGTCAAAAGTGGAAACATCAATCATGAATATCCAATATTAACAAGAAAACTTGATTCAGCATTCCTATTTGAAACATGGAAAGAATTTTTTTTTATCATAGTTGATCATTTCATTGATGGCAAAGTTAAAAATCCACATATATTCACTTTAAAAGTTTCTATCTTCCTAGGATCTACATGTACTGAACAAGTTTACTTCGTTTCAACAGGCAAATTTTAAGCCTTCCAGACAAGTGGAATTAATTTCTTAAGAAAATTCAAAAATCAGCATGATGAATGGAATAATTATGGTCTATTGCAGGATTTAAGTAAGAGAGTCAATTAAGGAAATGGCATGAAATATGAAATTTCAAAGTCTTTAAATGTCAAGTTTACTTGCATGAATTCCATGAAATGAGAAATCTTTTTAACTGATATCTAGAACTAAGCCTGTGGAAAATCACTATTTCTTTTTTTCATAATGCTTAAAGGGACAGGTTAGCCATTTTTGTGTTACATTTCTAGTATTTCAGAAGACTATTTACATATATTCAAGACTACAAATAATCCCCCAAAATGGCGCATGTCCCTTTGAGGTTATAGAATGGCGATACATTTATAGATTTGGCAAAAAATTATAACACAAAATATACCATTTGAATTGTTTCACAGATCGTCAGTATGCAACACCGCTTAAATTGAACCCTGCATCACACAATAAAAAGGGCACATGCCACTCAAAAAAGAAAGCTTGCTTAGCCTCATGTACACTCCACAAATTGTCATGGCACTGTTTCACTACCCTTCTAATGTTGATTAGAGCTGAATCTAACTGAATGATGCTATATATAATATCATGCTGTTAATAATGCTACATTCTGATATGTTATAGTATATGCCATATGCTTCAATCATGTGACATGCTTTGGGGCAGTGGATGTGGACCGAGATAGGGGGTATAAACTGGGGCACAGTGATGGGGGAGAGGGGGATTACTGTCATAATTGACTGATTCAAAAATGGTCACTATGTGGAAACTCTTAGGCGGAAGCTCCCACAGAACGTTTGAGAGGCTTCTCCTCAAGAAAATTGGAAAAATAGAATTGATTTGGTGCATTCCTTCACATATTTTTGGGAAAAAACAAATAAAAATCACATTTTTTAATTTGTTAGAAATGAAGTGGGGGTGCAATTTGCCTTGCCCATACCCCCAATGGCTCTGCCACTGCTTTTGGGCAAATTTACATATCAATGATAGCTAGTGGTTGACTGTTTCTAAAAGAATTTTATTATAAAAACACATGTAAGAACTACATTTTAGATTTTAAAACATCCAGAAAAGTGTTAAGAAAATTTTAGTACCGGTACTATGCACATAATCAAAGCCACAAAAAATCCACATTAGAGTACCACATCACAAAAAAAATGGAAATGGGAAAAAGCATTTAATATCACATTATATTGTTGAAATTTCACCATACACAGTGCGAGGCTTGGGTTTCAGTAAGATAAAATAAAAAATATTACGTATTATATAGTAATTACTTAATTA